ATTGGACTTCCCTTCAAATGATTTGCCTACTTATATTCTTTACCTATTTTTCAGTTAAGGTTTCCTGCCTTTTTCTTGTTAATTTGCAGGTGTTCCTTATATCTGCTTTATATCAATCCCTTAGTAGCTTTAAATATTGCAAATATCTTCTCTGATATGTTATTAATTTTGTCTGTGGTATCCTTTTTGATCAGAAAGTCTTAATTTTAATGTAATTAAGCCCATGCCCCCCAATATTTGTGCTGTTAGATTCTTCTTAAGAAGTTCTTCCAACTCTAAGCTCACCCAGATATTTTCCTTTCTTTTATTAGCTTCTACAATTTGCCTCTTTAATTGAAGACTTTACTCCAAATGGAATTTACCTGTGTATATGGTGGGATCTAAAGAATACTACTTTATTCTTTTATATGTAGAGTTATTCTTCCTAATGCTATCTGAAAATTAGTCTGTCTTTTCTCTATTGATTTAAAGAACTACCTTTATTAGACACCCGTTTTTATTTCTGAGTTTTTTATTCTGTTCATTGTGTCTTTGCTTATCTGCAATCACATATTGTATTTCTTACTATAGCTTTCTGGATTGTATTAGCATCTGGGAAAGAAATTCCTTTATTTACTCATCTTTTTAAAAATTGAGTTAGTTTTTCATGACTCTCCATCTCATATAATTTGGATAATATGATTGTTATATCTCTTGAAAGTTTTACTGAAATCTGAATTAGTTATCTATTTCTGCCTAACTCATTACCCTGTAACTTAGTGGCTTAAAACAAAAATAAACATGATCTCTCAGCTTCTGTGATTTGGGAATTTGGGAGTGACTTACCTAGGTGGTTCTGACTTGGGGTCTTAGTTTGAATTGATGATGTCACTTGGGGCCACAATCTTCTGATGGCAAAGCTAGACAATCCTTCTCCACGTTGGTTCACTCACATGGCTAGCAAGTTGATACTGGCATTGGTGGTATCAACTCCTTGCCATATAAACCTTTTGATAAAGCTGCTTGAGTATCCTCACAACATGGAGGCTGACGTCCACTAAAGCAAGTGACCCAAGAGACAGCAAGGTGGAGACTGCAGTGTCATTTATGACCCTGCATCGGAAATCACACTTCAACATTCTTGCAGTATTCTATTGAGTGCGCTAGTCAGCTCTCCACAGGGTGGGAGGGGATTGAGCAAGAGGGCAGGCATCATTGGAGGCCGTATTGGAGCCTGACTACCCCAGTCCAGCCTCTAGCTGCCAATAATTAATGTCCCTCCCTCATGCAAAAGCCTCTCATCTTCCTGACAAGGCTCCTCAAAGTCTCACCCCATTACAGCATTAGCTTCAGCTCCAGAATTTCACCCAAATTAGGTCTAGGGGGCAGATGAGTTTTGTTGGGTACAGTTCTTTAAGGGAAGTTCTTTTTGATGTGAATACCTGTGGACTAAGAGGCGGAACCACACAATGGCATGTATACTAGGAGGCAAGAATCAATGGAGGGCATCTTGAAGAGGGATACCACAAAATTTCATTTACCATTTTTTTGTAAGGCAGCTATATGGGTGACAAATTCCCTTGATGTTTGTCTGAGAAAAATCTTTATTTTTCTTTCACTTTTGAAGAATAATTTTGCGAGGTACAGAATTCTAGGTTGGTCATTTTTCTTTCAACACTTTTGATGTCTACTTCACTCTCTCCTTGCCTGCATGCTTTCTGAAGAGAAGTCTGATGTAATTCTTATCATTGTTTCTCTGAAGGTAAGTTGTTTTTAAATTTTTGTTTGTTTTCCCCAAGACTTTGTATTTATTTTTATTTTCTAATTTGAATAAAAATATACCTATGTGTTGATTTTTTGGTATTTATTGTGCATAGTGTTCTTTGAGTTTTGTGGACATGTGTTTTGATGTCTATCATTAATTTAGGAAAATCCTCAGCTATTATTACTTTAAATATTCATTTTGTTCCTTTTTATTTCTAATTACTCCCATTGTATGTAATCATCCTGTAGTTTTTGAATAATCTACTTCATCTTTTCATTTTGGTCTTTTCTCTTTTTTTCGGTTTTGGAAGTTTCTATTGACATATCTTCAAGCTTATGGATTCTTTTCTTGATTGTGTCCATTCTACTGATGAGTCCATCAAAAGCATTCTTCATTTCAGTTACAGTATTTTTTATTTTTAGTATTTCATTTTGATTATTTCTCAGGATTTCTATGTTTCTGCTTACATCTTAGGTTACTCAGGTTATGTTAAAATAGTTTCCTTTGAGAATAGGCTTTTGTTAAGAACAGAATGCTCTGGATATATGTCAAAATGGTTATTTTTTTCCTCTTACCCTGTTGAATGTCGGAAGGAATTTTTCTCTCATTTTCACCCATAACTTGGTGGGGTTCTTGGAAGAAAAATTCACAAAAATGTGGAGGTCCCTCTAAGACCTCTGAGGGCTTTTAATACTCAGGTTCATTTGTACTGAACCTCTGGAAGGCTAGCTATCATTTACAGTTTAAGTGTTCCTTCTGGTATTGGTTTCATGGGCAGGGTTCTGTTCCTGGTAAGCTGTGATTCTCTGTCTCTCCAATATTTCTGTAGCAGGTTACAGTGTGATTTCAATTTTCTGATGGATATAAGAATTGTTGATTTTCAGTTTAGCTTTTTTGCTTGTTGTGAGGATGGGAATGATAACTTCTAAGCTCTATACATGTTAGACCAGTACTTTTGATTTTTTTATAAGTTGATCTTGTGTCTGGTAGTTTTTCAGAACTCTTATTACTTTGTTTCTTGATTTCCTGTGTCACCTGCAAATAAGTACAGTGTGTATCTTTCTTACCAATTATTATATCTTCTATTCCTTTTCTCTTTTTTTCTATAATTAAAAAAATTATTTTATTTTTTATTTTAAAGATGTGGGGTACAATTCAGGGTTAGGTACATAAGTGGTCATCGTACAGGTGAAGTTTGGGCCTCCCAGTGGTCCTCACTGAACCTGGTGTAGGATTGGGTACTCTTATTAGTGTTATGTGTCCCCTTCCTCCACTGGCAATGACCCACTATTGCCAACCCCTTTTATGTAGTATTATGATAAATGTTCAGGGTCCACTTATGAGTGAGAACATGTGGTACTCAGTTCTTTGTTTCTGTGACAGATCACTGTCTTTTTTTTTTTTTTTTAATAGACACGAAGTCTTGCCATGTTGCCCAGGCTAGTCATGAATTCCTTGGCTCAGACAATCCTCTTGCCTCAGCCTCCCAAAGTGCTGGGATTACAGGTGTGAGCCACCCAGCCCTATTCCTTTTTTCTTTGCATAGGAATCTTAATTTTCTCAGTGACTGCTAAAGTTCTATAGATCATTCAGTATAATGACCATATGTATATGAAAACAAATTAACTGTATCTCCTCTCTTTGAACTTTTCATAATCAATAATTTTTTAAATTTATAGACATTTAAGTGATTTATTTTTCTAGAAATTTAGAATCCTCACCCTTCAATGTCTAATTTCTCATCTCTACTTGAGAATTCAGTGCCTTTTTTTTTTTTTTAAATAATCAGGGTTTGACATTAAGGTTAAAATAGGTTAATAGTTTTCAAGGGTTTTTTTTGAATGAAGAATGGTGGCTGAATTGTAATACACTTTTCTGAATGTATTGAGATGATCACATAAATTTTCTGTGTAATCTGTTAATGTGATTTTTAAATATTAAATCATACTTGGATTTCTGGAACAGATTCAACTTTGTCATAATACATTACTGTTTTTCTGGATTTGATTTGCAAATATTTTAGGATTTTTTTCTTGACTCTTATAGATACATTGTACAACTACCTCCTTTCAGACATTCAAAGAGTTTTAAAAATTTTCTTGCCTGTACACAAAAAATTCAATGTCTTTCTTGCTCTTTTTCTTTCCTGTCTCAGAAAAATTATACCATTGCTATGTTAATGGCTTAATTTATATTTTAATAAATAGCTTATAAATTCTTTTGAGATGATACAGTTATTTTTTGAAACTTTATGTGTTGGTTTATATCAATGTTATTAAGTGGGTTAGTTTTCATTATATCAAATCCTTACATTACCATATGTACTTGATATCTTATGGTTATGTTTTGATGCAGTGGGGTCAAATTTGGATTTCTATTGCGGGTATAAAAGTATTCATTAACTTATTTAATGCATATTTATTGAATATCTACTATGTGTCAACTGCCATTCTAGAAGCTGAGGATACAGCAGGAAAAAAAAAAACCCTACTCTAATCGAATATCTTAGTAATATTCTTAGGACCTAATGATGATCACAGAATAGAAATAGAACTTTATTGTGATGGTCCATAATTTGCACAAAAAAGCATTCTTGCTGGTCATTTCATGCCTAGGGCTAAAACTTTGACATATCACTTTTAATCACTGATAAAAAAACAAATTTGACCTCCTCACTACTTCAGATATTCTTCAATGGAAAATTATCTCTGTAGTTCTTTTTGATTATAGTTTATATAAACATGAAGTATTCATTCATAATGAAGAATGGTATACAAATCAATCTATTAAGTTATTTGCTACTATGTATACTTTTTTTTTTTTTTTTTAAAAGCAGGCTTTATGGAGAGGACAGAAAAGCTCCCACAGTGGGAGAGGACCCAAAGGGGGTGCCCCATACATATTTTTCAAATGGTTTGGATACATTTTGATGTTGTCAATGTAACAAATGAATGCGTAGCTCACACTCTGAAAATGTTTTTTAAAAAGCTTACAAGTACAAATATACATTGTTTTATATTAAAAATTAATGAATGGATTGCTAAAAGACAGGAAACATTATATTTATTTTGATTTACACTTAGCAACTCAATTAGTATTCATTAACTCAATAATTAGGAAACTTATAACTTATGCACATTCACTTTTACATTACAATGAGTTTTATAATAGAAAACGAGCACAGTAAATTAAATCCTAAGAAAATGTTGATGTGAAAGTATGTATAACAGACTTTAGTTCTTATACAATTTCTAGTTTAAAATATGGATAAAATTACAGTTAATCCAAACATTGCCAAACTGATTGAAGAAATATTGGTACCCAGATCAGGGATGCTGGGTCCATTTGAAGTAATGAACTTGGTTGCTTGTGCAATGTTAGAAACCTTTGATGTGAGGTTGGCATCATGCATGGTTTGAATCGCGATATAGAAGTTGGTGCCATTTTTTATTTTAGAAAGTTCTGGTTTAAATTCAAAATGTTCTGTTGACCCAGCCTCCTTAGGTATCAGACCAGAAGTATTTACTAAAGCGGCATGATCAAAATCTTCTTGGAGGTCCAGGAAGCACTCACTTATTCTTATAATGTAGCTGTCAACTGAAAAACAAATATTCATAGATACTTCATATATATTAAAAGTACTATGGTCACCACACTGCCTTACATTAGGAATGTATATCAGAAAGTCACACAATATTTTAGTTATGAAAATTCCATTAGTTTTTGTCTGGTTATTTCATCTTCTTTATTTTAAGGGTAAATATGTGAACAGTTTTTTTTTTTTTTTAAAGTTGAGTTGTCCCAGAAAAATTTAATTCAAAATCATATAGTACTAAAAAATAAAAATCTTGATTTTTTTTACATTTAAAATGTAAAATTTTAGATTTAGGGAATACAAGCATATGTTTGCTACATGAACACATCGTATACTGGTGGCGATCGGGCTTCCAAATCAACTTAAAAAAAACCGAATTTTGTTCTGTTGCCCAGACTGGAGATCAGTGGTATGAACATGGCTTGCTGCAGCCTCAAACCCCTGGGCTCAAGGAATTTTTCCACTCAGCCTCCTAAGTAGTTGGCATTATAGGCATGTACCACTACTAAGTCTGCTTTTTAATTTAGATCAAGGAACATAATAGTGTTTTAGTATAGTGACATTGAGTCTCCACATCTGTGTTATTTCTCATCAAGTTGAAAAAGGGAATAATAAGACAGGAAAGTATAAAGAAGACAGAGTAGGAAACAGGGATAAGAAAAAGAGCCGAAGGAGGCAGACACTGGAGTGTGTACTAATTACATGTGCTTAGGGCTTGGGCAGACCTTTACCCACACCCTAATACTGCTACTTTCTAGCTGTGTAATAAAGAAAATAGTATTTAAACTTCCTTATCACTAGTTTTTAATCTGTAAAATGGGGAATAAATCATATAATTCATTCAACAACTATTTATTGAGTGCCTGCTATTCTTATGGTGAGAATTATATATGACTTGCATGAGATGTGTTAGTATAATTTAATAACTGTTAATACATGTTTGAAATATTAGCTATTATAACTTATTATTTTATCAAAAAAGGGAAGTAGGAGGATGACATAAATGTTTCATTCTATACTGCTTTTAGAAAACTACTACAGCAATACACATTAAGTTACCAACATTATTCTTCTCAGACACGGAAATGATAATACAGAAATTCATATAGAAACATAAACAACCACAAATAGCCAAAACAATCCTTAGCAAGAGAAACAAAGCAGGAGGTATCACACTTCTAGACTTCAAACTCTACTATAAGGCTACAGTAATCAAAACAGCCTGGTATTGGTACAAGAGCAGGCATATAGACCAATGGAACAGGATAGAGATTCCAGAAGCAAAGCCTCAATTCCTCAACCAACTCATCTTTGACAAAGTCTCCAACAACAACCACTGGGGAGAGGAGAACCTATTTGGTAAATGGTGCTGGGAAAAGTGGCTGACCACATGCAGAAGATTGAAACAGGACCCCTACCTATCACCATACACAAAAATTAACTCTAAATGGATCAAAGACCCAGATGTAAAACCTCAAACTATAAGAACCTTAGAAAATGCAGGAGACACCCTTATGAAAATTGGAACTGACAACCAATTCCTATTCAGAACCCTAAAGGCCAGTACCTTAAGAAATAAGATAATAGATAAGTGGGACCTCATCAAATTAACGAGCTTCTGCAAAGCAAAAGAAACCATTAAGAGAACAGGAAGACAGCCCACAGAATGGGAAAAAATATTTGCCAACTGTATATCTGACAAAGGCCTAATATCTATGAACTACAAGGTACTCAAACAAAGGGAAAAAACAAAGGGAAAAAAACAAACAGCCCCTTTAAAAAGTGGTCAAAAGACATGAATAGACATGTCTCAAAAGAAGATATATACAGGCAGCCAACAGACACATGAAAAAGTGCTCAGCCTCACTCATCATCAGAAAAAATGCAAATCAAAACCACACTGAGATACCACCTAACTCCTGTAAGAATGGCCATCATTAATAAAACAAACAACAGATGCTGGTGAGAATGTGGAGAAAAAGAAACACTTCTAAATGACTGGTGGGAATGCAAACTTATACAACCTCTCTGGAAAATAGTCTGGCGATTTCTGAAAGAACTAGAAATTGACTTTCCATATGGCCCAGCAATTCTCCTATTGGGAGTATACCCAGAGAAACTCAAATTATTCTACAAAGAAGATACCTGCACACGTATGTTTGTTGCAGCTCTATTCACAATAGCAAAAACATGGAACCAACCATGTTGTCCATCGAAGCTGGATTGGATAACAAAATGTGGTACATATACACAATGGAATATTATGCAGCCATAAAGAAGGACAAATATATGGACTTTGCGGCAACCTGGATGGATTTGGAGTCGATCATACTTAGTGATGTATCACAGAAACAAAGAAGAGAGTTCCATATGTTCTCACTCATAAGAGGTCCTTGAACAATTATAATACTATAAGAAAGCAATTGGCAGTAATGGGAAACTGTGGGGCGGAGGGATTGGCAGTTAAGGGAAACTACTAGGGGAGGGAGTGGCATACCTCATCAACAAAGATACCTGCATGATCAATGTTTGTATACCTAACCCTGAATTGTACCCCACATCTTTATAATAAAAAATTTTTTTAAAAGAAAAAAAAAAAGAAATCTACCAGAGTCAGTCAAACATGGGTGGCTCATGCCTATAATCCCATCCCTTTAAGAGGCGAAGACAGGAGGATGTCTTGAGGCCAGGAGTTTGAGACTAGCCTGGGCAACAAAGTCAGACCTTGTCTCTAAGACATAAATCTATCAGAGTCATTGATATAACAATATATTCTCACATTTCAAAGGATGATAAAAAATAAAACATCCGATATCCTTTTTTAAAGTAAAGTTTCTATTTTTATTTTTTTCATGAAAATGTGAAAGTATTTCAAGTGTATGGTGAATAACTTTAAGTGTCTTTTGAAAAAAATTCACGTTCTCAGTTTAACATTTAGTTTCTCCACATATACGCTTTATCAATCCATTCTATAATTCTTCTTCATAAAACCCTGTCCTCCATTTAGATGGCTCTATCTATCTATCTGTCTATCTATCCATCCCCTATTTTAATTCAAATATTCCATTGTGAAATTTTGCTTTCTTGACCTTGATCATGTTACTGATTGAATTTGGTTTAATTAAAAACAAAGATAGAAGTGATTTAAACTTTCTGGAATATTATTAGGAAGCTTGAATGAATGAGATATTTTGATCTTGAACTTAATTCAGACTCTGAACAAATCTTTCAAATGAGTAAGTTTTTCTTCCCATGGGCATCTCTTTTTGTGGGACACCTTCACCTAACTTGGCTAACTACTCTCATTCCTCAAGACTCAGGTCAGGAATAATCTCCCCTGGAAAGCCTTTGAAGATGTACGAGTATCTTGTGCTCTTACTCCCCAACTAGGGTTTTGTGGCCCACTAAGAGTTTGTGGTCTACCTAGGGGCTGCCATGTCATTCTGGGTTTACAACAGTTTATTACACTGCTATCTGTCCACTTACGTGTCTTCTGTGCTCAACCGACTGTTGAGAGTAGGGATTATTTCTTAGAAATCCTGATAGTGTAAAGACTCAAAAGGTTAATAAATGAAAGAAACTGTGTATGTACAGAAATACTTATTTTTTTTCCTTTGCTAGGGAGAAAAGAATGCAACAGAAAGCTGTTAGCTCAATCTCCTCAAAGTAATGTCTAGGATGCTTCAAATTATGAGAAGCAGTTTCGTACATTAGAAGCTGACAAGACTGGGTTAGAATTCTAGAGTTACTAAATATAGAAATAATTTGGGCCATTTCAGTTACCTCTTGAAGCTTCAGTTTTCACAACTGAAAATAATTGAATAATGGCCTGTAGTAGACAATTCGCCAGTGGGACATTAGGAAATTCTTAGCAAATGAAAGCCAATGGGATTTCTTTTAGTATCCTTTAAAACGTGACATCACATTTACCTCTTCCTTTGTCAAGGACCTTGCCAGGGGCAGTCCATGAAAGTTGAATATACTCTCCTTTAAACGCTGCCTCAAGGTCTGTAATTCTACCAGGTGGGAACACGTGAGTATGATTACCACCAGGAGGCGCTCCTGATACGGTAAACGAACCTCCAGAGGTCAGTCTGCTGAAGTCTTCTACTTTAGCTACTGCCACGTTGACTTCAGGTTTGGGAGGGTTCAGGATAATTGTACCTACCAAAAAAAAAAAAAAAGAATTCTGTAACTTTTCTTTTTAAAGTTTTCAAGAAAGGTTTATTTAGAAAGTAAATTAGAGAGAGAGAAAGAGAGAGAGAGAGAGGAGATTCACTTCCCTCAAGTAGGGGAGGGGGCCAAGGCTAGGAAACAAGGTGGCCATAGCTCCAAGAGTCACATGAAGACAGCAGAGTTTAACAAAGTAATGGTCAATTCTGTAATTTTTCATATTGCCATATCTATTCTCTATTTTCTAAGCTGATCTTACAACTGTGGAGGGTTAATATTGATTGACAAAAGACACTGAAAAAGTAACAGGTTTTGGTAAAAAAAAAAAAAAAAAAGAAAAGCTTGTTTTATTGATATTATTTTTATTTTATTTTATTTTTTTGAGTTGGAGTCTCACTCTGTCGTCCAGACTGGAGTGCAGTGGCACGCTCCCGGCCACTGCAACCTGGCCTCTGGAGATCTTTCCGCTTCAGTCTTCCAAGGAGCTGGAACTATAGACGTGTGCTACCACACCCGGCTAATTTTTTATTTATTGTAGAGATGAGGTCTTTCCAAGTTGCCCAGGTGGGTCTTGAACCCGCAGGCTCAGGCAATCCATTCACCTAGGCCTCCCAAAGTGCTGGGATTACAGGCTGAGCCACTGAGCCTGGCTTGATATTATTTAAACATTGATGAGGAGACACTGTGCTATGTTAAAACTATCTGTCTCTACTATTTGACTGTAAATACTTTTAGGACCAGGATTACGTTTTATTTATCTTTGTAGCTCCAGCATCTAGCACAGTGCTTGCAACATAGTAGGTATTCAGTAATATTTTTTCAATGTGGACGAAATGAACTGAAGGAGGTGTGAGAAAAACATATGGAAAATATAGCCCTATGTTAGGGCCACTGATATGACCATGTTTTTGAAACATTCAGGTGATTTACAACATTATATAATTGAGTTTTCCTCTGTATATTATATTTTCCATGTTTACCATAGGCAGTTTGCAAGAGACACATTTCTGTTTTAATGCTACTTACCATTTTCAACATAGCCTGGTAAATACAGAGCTTTTTGCTGCCGTCTTAAACTTAGTCTAGCTGTGTTTTTTCTTGCTTGGGCATGCACTTTTAAGCTGTATCTACCATTCCCACGGTAATCTGTAAAATACCTTGAGTAGATACCATCATTCTTGACAGTGTCAGCACCTTGATATTGAAATGAAATAATTAGTCATCCAATAAAGTAAAAATGGCAATTGCAACTATTTATGAGCACTGATGATGTCAGCCATTTGGGAGATAGTATAGCACAGTGTTTTAAGTACATGGACCCTGGAATTAGACTGTTTTGGTAGAAAGCTTGGTTGGCTTGGCCACTTGTTAACTCTGTGGTTTTGAAAAAGTCTAATTCATGGTAGGCATTCAATTAATATTAGCTGTTGGTATTATTATTTCATAAAGGAAGCTTATCAAATAAGGAAAACACAACTGAGCTGGAGAAAGCATATATGAAACATGACGTTACTGAAAATAGACACAAATTGTATTCTTAAGTTCCATGGGAAATGTAATATTGTTCATAAATTTTTTTTTTTGAGTTGGAGTCTTACTCCATCGTCCAGGCTGGAGTGCAGTGGCACGCTCATGGCCACCCCAGCGATGACCTCCTGGGCTCCGGTGATCCTACCGCCTCACCCTTCCAAGTAGCTGGAACTATAGACAGGTGCTACCACACCAGGCTAATTTTTGATTTAAAAAAAGGTAAATTGCTTATGTCTATGATTTGTCAGGATAATTAAGAAGTTAAAAACAGTAAAACTTAATTTAATTTTTCTTAAAATATGGTTCACTTGCAAACACAGGAAATATTGACTTCTGGGTCATAGAACTGTAGGAGGATTTTAAGTATAGTGAATGTCAGTGCGGATTCTTCTTACCGGCACCGTTGTCCAAGAGCTCCAACATTACTTGATGTCCATCTTCGGTTTCAATAGTGGCTATTACATTGATTCCCAGAACTGGTAAAAACCCTTGACTGACTCGTGCATAAACAATCATCGGGCTAGGATAGTGAGCTGTGTTTTGACTCATGTGAGCAGTTGCAATTACGGGGAGAGTGGTAGGGCTTCTTGCTCGAGTGGTCATTGTCACTGTCAGCAACTGAGGGTTGGCATGCGTATTTTGAAGGCTGTAAGTCCAAGTGCCTGTCTGAGAGAAAACAAAAAACCTACTTGAGCGCTTTGGTAATATTTTCCTACTCCATGATTGAAATATAAAATTACTTAGAAATTAAAGCAGAGTAGTAACTATTATTTTTAATATCCAATTTATTTATTTATTTATTTATTTATTTTTTGAGTTGGAGTCTCTCACTCTGTCGCCCAGACTGGAGTGCAGTGGCCCCTCCCGGCCACCGCAGCCTCGCCTGCTGGGCTCCAGCGATCCTTCCACCTCAGCCTTCCGAGTAGCCGGAATTACAGGCATGTGCTACCACACCTAGCTGATTTTTTGATTTATTGTAGAGATGAGGTCTCGCTGCCCAGGTGGGTCTCAAACCCGCGCGGCTCAGGCAGGCCCCTCAACTCAGCCTCCCAAAGGCGCGGGATTGCAGGCTGAGCCACCGAGCCCAGCTTAGTATCCAGTTTTATAAACAAATAAATAGTATGGATATGAATCCTTCATTATTTGATTTTTTTATTACAGATGATCTGTTGTTTTAAGATTGGCAGTGTAAAAGATGCTGTTTTCTTCTTTTTAAATTGAAACTGATTAAGAAAGCTTGGAGATAATGACCTACCTCTGCAATACCTGGTATTTGAAGACGGGCAGACCGAATATTTAGTGTGTCTTCTTTGAAATCTGAGGTATGATATTTTTTTCCTTTTGGATCTTGAAGAAGAATTTCTGGCCTTTGTACAGTCCATGTGATGACAAAGAAAGTATCATTTCCAATTGTACTATCCACAGGCACTGTACCATTTATCCATTTCTTCCCTGGAATATTCAATGCTTTACTTTCCAACTGTTTGGTAAATAAAAGCAGCAAAAACACATAAAACCCATTTGTTATTATAGTTAATAGAATTTCCAAGTTTAGTCAGTTCGGAGTCATTTTCATTTTTAAAAAAATTTCAGTTAAAACAACTAAGAATTATTTTGAGAAATGTTCCTATAAAAAGCGTGCCTAATTATAAAGAAGAGAAGCATTCAAGAGAAAAGGTGGCTGGAAGTTACATGGAAAAGAAAATTCAGTAAAGTTTTGTTTTTCTTCTGCACATCTGACATATTTTCAGGAAAAAGAGTTATTTTTTAGAGAAAGAGGATTTAGTAATTAGGATAATAGAAATTTATTACAACAGTGAGAAAGCAAGTAATTTTTTGATATACTGACCTGAAGTGCCTGTTGAGAGATATTGCCACTGCTAGATGAAATTCTACTGAAAGCATCAATAAGACCACTGATGTCTTTATGGGCATAAAAACGATATCCTCCTGAAACAGAATTATAAATGGAAATACCATATTTGTTATTGTATTCTCATCAATATACTTTAAAATCGATTTTAACATTTCTTTTTAAACTTACAAAAGATGAACTTCCCAGAATTTTATGAACTTTTACTATATTAGTGCCCAGTATGTAATCCTACAACAATAGCTGAAACCTTGCTCAAAATAAGTAAGATAAGAATGATGCTGGGCTCGGTGGCTCAGCCTGTAATCCCGCGCCTTGGGAGGCTGAGGTGAGTGAATTGCCTGAGGCTGCGGGTTCGAGACCTGCCTGGGCAACTTGGCGAGACCTCATCTCTACAATAAATCAAAAAAAAAAATTAGCTGGGTGTGGTAGTGCACGCCTGTAGTTCCAACTACTTGGAAGGCTGAGGTGGAAGGATCGCCGGAGCCCAGCAGGTCGAGGCTGCGGTGTCCGGAAGTGGCCACTGCACTCCAGTCTGGGTGACAGAGTGAGACTCCAACTCAGGAAAAAAAAAAGAATGAAGCAAACTTTAAAAAACAGGTTCTAATTGTGTTTGTGTGTGTGTGTGTGTGTGTGTGTGTGTGTGTGTGTGTGTGTTTTTTAAATCAATCAATCATCAAAGGTAAGGGCCTGCCACATGGGTGAAGCAGTTCTAAGCACTAAATAGTGTTACAAAAATAAAATTTCAGATTGCACTGAACCAGCTGCTTATTTTCTAGTTGGGTCTAAGATATACCAAAACAATTAGAGAATGATAGTTGAGAATGAAGTAAAAATTAAGTGCAGGAAATAAGTACCATAGAAATTAATGATGACAGCGATAACTTGCATATAAGGAATTAGAAGCGCGGACAAGAATTAATACAAGAGACTGCCACAAATACAACAATCAATACATAATAATTGAACTAATAAATGGCAAAAAGGGCTGGGCGCGGTGGCTCAAGCCTGTAATCCCAGTACTTTGGGTGGCTAAGGTGATGGGATTGCCTGAGCCCACGGTTTGAGACCAGCCTGAGCAACTTGGCAAGACCTCATCTCTACAATAAATTAAAAAATTATCCGGGTGTGGTAGCGTACCTGTAGTTCTGGCTACTTGGAAGGCTAAGGCAAAAGGATTGCCTGAGCCCAACAGGTTGACATTGGGGTGGCCGTTTGCCCGCCACTGCACTCCAGTCTAGGCGATGGAGTGAGACTCCGACTCAAAAAAAGAAAAAAATGGCAGAAAGACCAGCTAGAGGGTTACTGAAGAAGCCCAGGAAGGCAATTGTGAGGGCTGGATTATGATAGTAGTGGTAATAGGACTGAAGGGGAAATACAGAAATATTTCAAACTAAGATTTAGCAAGATTTGGTGAAGTGGTTACAGGGTGAGATGATAGAGCTCTGAACTGATCATCAGCACTCTATGGCTTTTGGTAAATTATTTGTTTGCTCTAGGATTTCATTTCCTCATCCACAAAAAAAAAAAAAAAACGGATGTTAAAATCTCTAGTATGCAATTGAGCGGTATTTTGGAATTGCGCAATCATTTTGGACTCGCACAGAGTAACCGCGGAGAGATTTCTGTTCAGTAGTATTGGCAGAAAGTGGGTAGAAATAAATGAAGACGGCAAACATTGAATGATATTAGAAGAAACTGTTATATGAAGAAGTGGAGGAGAGGAAAATGAACTTAGTCTGAAGGACAGGAAGAGCCAAAGACTAATTTTCAGAATAGGAAATTTTTGAACAACTTTATAGAGAAAGAGTCCCTGGAATGGGAGAGACTAGAAATGTATTTTCTATCCAAGTTGTATTCCAAAGGCTTACCTGTCATATTTGACAGGGTCTCCAGTTCTTTGTCAGCAGAAGGTCCCAGAGCAATGGTGTGGATGATTGCACCACTTTGTTTTACCTCCTCAAAGCATGAACTTATTGTGTTATCTTCCCCATCTGTTAGCAATATGATTTCAGAACCAGAAGTATGCTGGTTACTCTGGGAAATTACCTGATAGTGAAAAAGCCAGGTTGTTACTTACAGAATGTCATATTTTAATATGTTTAAAATAAGAACAGTCCTGTTCTTTAGTCTTGCATCAGAGTAAGCAAAAGGAAACTTTTCTCATTGACATTTCAGGGGAAGCCAGTCTTGTAGATTTTGAAAACTAGAGTGTTAACCCTTCTTCTAATCCTCTCAAATATACTCTCAGTACCCAAGAGAGGAAAAATAAAGCACTGAGAACAATGCCTGGCACGCAGTAAGTACTCAGTGTATATAAGCTACTGTTGTTATTATTATCCCAAGAGAATACTTAAGGTGGAGGCAAGTGACTTAGACAATTCTGGAAGACTGCAGACTAGATAGCATTTGCAAAGTCATGCCCAAAGGTGAGTGTGCAGGTTAAATGGTGGGACATGTGCTTTTTTAACTGCATTTTATTTGATCACTGCTGTAGAATCCCAGGGTTTCAAGGAAAAAAGCAAAAAACAAGAGCTTGGACTGCCGTGAAGAAGAAAGTTCATAATTTTATAAATTATTACAAATACTTTTCTTTTCATCTTTTTCTTCTTTTTGTTTTTTTGAGTTGGAATCTCACTCCGTCACCCAGGCTAGAGTGCTTGAGCCATTGCACCTGGCCTCTTTTTTTACTTCTACCAAGAGTATTGACTAAGAATTTGGTGTTAGATAACTTGAGAGTAAATTCCAGCTCTGCTATTTGCTAAATAGAATAGTTAGTGCTTTTCTCAAAACTATATTAGTATATGTATATGTGTGTATATATATACATATATATGTATATGCATGCATATAAGTATTATATACATGTAACTCTTTTGCCTGAAAATATTCAGTTGTGCAGAAGAAAAGCATCTTTACTGAATTTACTTTTCCGTCATACTTATAGCCACCTTTTCTCTTGAATTCTTCTAGTCTTTATAATTATGTATGCTTTTTATTTGGAAAATTCCTTAAAATAATTTATTCATTTTAATTGAAATCTTAAAAATCTATTACATTTTTTAAACTTAGATATTTCATAAACTATATTTTAGAAGTGAATAGACATATGGAATTAGAATTATGATAATTATTATCATAATAGTAAACCTTTCTTAAGCATTTATATATTTCACATAATTCCCCCAATTAAATGAGAAGGGTACTCTTATAACCCACATTACTTCAGTTGAAGAAACAGGTTTTCTCAGTTGAGTTACTTATCTAAGTTCATTTAGTTAAGAAATGTTAGAGCCAGGATCCCAAGTTTCTCTATATCCAGAGCCTGCCATCTTAAACCAATATACTTTATGACAAATATACACCATGAGGAAAGTTAAGAGATGGTATTAGTCAATGACCTCGATAAGAGTAACAATCTCTATGTTACAGCAAGGAGAGGATCAGTGAAGGAAATAGTCTTCTATTTTCGTGACAACTCATGACAAGAAATAGGCTTAAATGGAGGCTGACTGAGGTTGTAAGGAATTTGAATGGAAACGAGGCAGTTGGGTATAGTGCTCAAAAGGTGCTCCCAATTTGTTGAACTCACAATTTTGATTTCCTTAAACTTCACTTATGTTCGTAGGGTCTGGTACTATATTGCTTGAGGGGATATCTTCATCTTTGTTATTTTTAAATGTCAATTTAACTCGAACTGGGACTTTTAAAAAATCCATCAGTATAGATTTGTTACTAATTTTCCTCCTCCACAATCTCCTTGTGGCATTATTTTCTGCTCATTGAAATTCAGACTGCAGGAGTGGTAGAGAAATGGAGAGCTCCTCCAAAAATCACGAAAATTGTGTGAACACTGGATTTTCCCCACTTTACTTAACCACTCCCCAATGCAACTTAGTGCCTCAGAAGCGTATCAGTTGGATGCCTACTCAGAGAGGCTCTAGTTGTGAACAATACATAGTAGGAGAGGCTATTTTTTTTTCTTGCCATAAAGAAGGGAATGATTTACCCTGATCAGGTCACAATATTATTACTTGAAGAACCCATGAACTCATGACCCCTGTTCAAAGGTAATTGGAGAAAAGTAAAAGCAATAGTAAATGGCAAATGATATTTTCAAATTTTAAAAAGTTTTACCTGAAATCCTGCTTTGAGTCCACTGCAAATTGAAGTTCCACCATTTGCTGCTTGAGGCAGGTTTGCAGTGATATCTTGGTAAGAGGTATCATTAGTGATTTTTATTAGATTATTTTGGATTTGAGCATAACTATCAAATGTGACCATCCCAACCAAAGATCCCTTTTCAATAATTTGAATCAAGTATAGTTCTGCTGCTTGATTCATTCGAAAGAGACGGTCTTCCTGTAAGAAAAAGATGTTTGAACAACTTCCAAGACTACAAATCTTGACAAATTAGTGAAAGACAAAGTCATTCATGGACCATAGATCATGATGATACTTGATTGATGTATTTTATTTTATTTTATTTTTGAGTTGGAGTCTCACTCTGTCACCCAGACTGGAGTGCAGTGGCCGCTCCCGGCCACTGTAGCCTCGGCCTGCTGGGCTCCAGCAATCCTTCCGCCTCAGCCTTCCAAGTAGCGCTACCACGCCCGGCTAATTTTTGATTTATTGTAGAGATGAGGTCTTGCCAAGTTGCCCAGGTGGGTCTCGAACCCGCAGGCTCAGGCAATTCACTCACCTTAGCCACCCAAAGCGCGGGATTACAGGCTGAGGCACCGAGCCTGGCTTGATTGACGTATTTTAAAATTTAACTCCTTCATTTTGTTTTTAAAAATTAAAGAAAATGTTAAAAAATCAGTTATACTCAGGAAAGCCTTAAAAATCTGAATCTTTTTACTCAACAGTTTTATATTCAGGAATTTATCCTAACGAAATAATTTTCAAAATGCATACAAAGATGTTCCCTTCAACATATTTTAATAATAAGTTGAAAATGTCCAAAATGCCCAATAATAGGAGATTGTTTGACTGAATTATGATATGTACATGTGATACAACCATTAAAAATTATGTAATGGAGTTATATTTTCCATGAGGAGTGTTTAAGGTATATTAAGTTAAAAAATCAGATTATAAAGCATTCTATAAAATATAATCACATTTTCAAGGAGGAAAAACAAATACATTAGCAAAAAAAAGGCTGAAATGATATATGTTCAGTGGCAGATTTATGATTTTTTTTCTGTTTGTTCAGTTATAATTTTTCTTGTTACTTAGAATTAAAATTAAGAAATAAAAATTATTCATTATCCAATAACCTTTATATACTAACATTTTTGTTTTAGCATATTATCTTCTAGTACTTATCTACATAAAATAATCGTACTGAAATTTATGAGAACACATATATGTTAGTTTGCCAGAATTAAGCCTTAAGATTAAATGACATTTCTATTAACTTAACTACTTAATTTAAGGGAGTTAGCAAAAAATTGTCTTACTGAAGCCATGCTTCCAGATTTATCAAGTACCAAACACACGACTCGTGGTTTGGACCTGAGCAATGAAAATGTAGGATGAGGTGGTGGATTCCTTCCTGTCATGGGAGATACATTCCGAAAATCATCAGAGCCCATAATTACATCCCATGTGCTTTTGCGATCACACATTTTGTTGTGTAGGTTTGGGGCTTCTTTATTGTGTGTTTCTGCAGTACAAAATTCAGTCACCTGGGAAAAAAAAAGTCAATTAAAAGACAAGATTACCATGACTTGTGAAGGCATTACTTTCCTTTTGAATATGTAACTAGCTGCCATACATATCCTCTACAGATTTTATCTCCTGACTCTTAAAAATTCCTTCATACCTGAACATTCTGACATGCATTTTGCATACCTGAATGGGGCATAAAGCTAGCAATATGTACTGGTAAAGGATTTTTGGGGATTCTTTTAGGTATAGATGGAGCATGTCATTGGGGGATGGTGGCAGCTGGCATGACTGTTAAGTTAATTTCTTACTTTCCCTTCAGACTCTTGAAGAGCTCAAGTCTTGAATTAGGTTAAGGAAAAGAGGACAGGGTTTCTGGTTAATTTCTAGCTGTGCTCTAAAATTGGAATAGAGAAAATGGCCATCGTTAATTGTCTAGGCGTGTTCCACATCTTCATAGTTGATCAAAAAACTTGAGGACAGATATTCTACAACCTGGATTGTTATTGACTCTGGAGGATTTTGACATAAATAAAATGACACTCCTGAAAAAGTAATGAAAGTGTAGGGGAGAAAATGAGGAAATGTAATTATTTTTCTCTTAGTGGCAAGTGATAAATTGTATCCAAACATTCTCTCTATGAATATTTCATCACAATAGGACTTGTGAGTATTCTTCAAGGGTTGAAAATGTAGCATTTTTGAAAAATGTTTATATAAACTAGGGCAGTATTCAGACGGAATTTATCTTGCAGTAAGCTGCAGCTTATAAGAAATACGTTTAGTAGTGTCTAGATGTAAGTTCAGATTTAGAAAAACAAAATTATTAAATTTGAGTATCTTTTCATCTAAGTTTTAGGAGTTTGTTTTGTTTCTGATATAGCTCGGACTTACATCTCACAAATGGAATTATTATTGGAGGAAAGAAAAATATAGTTTGCAATCAAAGCGGTAATTCATGACCAAGTCTTGCGGATGTGAAATGGCTGGTCTCTCTTTTCCCTACTGCTGCCACTACCTTTATTTGGGTCTCTTACCTGCCTGTTGCCATCATTTCCAGCTGGCTTCCTTGCCTCCACTAACACCTCACTCCCTCTCCTAACCTTCACAATTAGTAGTATTACCTTCTTGAAAGAATTAAGTCAATCAGATCACTAGCCTAAATCTGAGAGGATAAAACCCAAACACCTTAGTTTTGTAGTCCTCATTTCTTATTTCAACCCCATTCCTGCCTCTTGCTCACCTGTTTTCTTTGCTTCTGCCACACTAACTTTCTTTCTATTTCTAGAATATACCAGAAACTTTCTTAGGGTCTTTGCTAACCCAAATGGTAATTTTGTGCAAATTAGAAAAAGGCACCATTGACCCCTCTCTGCCTGAAAATTTTTCTAGTAAATGTTAAAATCTTCAAAGACTCTGATGCGAATAATTTAGGCAGTGTTGAACTTGTACAGTCATGCACGACATCCCTGCCTTATTCTACTCTTTCCTTTTTCACTCCCTCCTCTCTACTCCCTCCCTCCCTCCTCTTCCTCCTCCTCCTCCTTCACCATTTTTTAAGAGATGAGGTTGGCCTGGCATTTAGTCAGGCCTGTAATCCCAGCACTTTGGGAAGCAGAGGCTAGAGGACTGTTTGAGCCCACAGGTTCGAGACCAGCCTGGAAAACTTGGTGAGACTTCATCTCTACAATAAATAAAAAAAATTAGCAGGACGTGGTGGCACACACCTGAAGTTCCAGCTACATGGAAGGCTGAGGTGGAAGGATCACCTGAGCCCAGCAGGTTGAGGCTGTAGTGACTGTGAACTGCACTCCAGCCTAGGGGACAGAGTAAGACTCCAACTCCAAAAAAAAAAAGAAAGAAAGAAAGAGAAAAAGAGATGTTTCACTTGGTTTCCCACTTGGTTTCGAACTCCTGCCTTTAAGTGATCCTCCTGCCTCAACCTCCCAAAGTGCTGGGATTACGGAAGTGAGCCTCTGTGTTCAGTCTACTTTTTGCTTTTGTAAATCTGTTTCACTGTATAGGAATTCTATCTCTTCCTGCTTTGGAAAATTCATACTCATTTTTTTCAAATCCCAGCTCAAAACTCATCTCTTCAGAAACTGTTTTCTGACTTCCAGTTAGCAAAAGTTACTGCCCTCCTTGCATTTGGTTCATATCTCTGTATCTCTTCCTACTTTGTATTATAAATGTATTTCCTGTATCACTACCTTTATCTCTAAACTGAGTTCCCCAAGAACAATTATCTTTAATTATTTCTGTTTCCTGCTCCTAACACAGTGCTGGGTGTGAAGTAGGAGTAGTGAAACTTAAGGAAGGAAATCATATTCGGTGTTTCAGATCATCTCTCTTCTAGATCTGAGCTTGTGCCCTGGACACTGACACTATGTGATATATTTAATTTGTGTTATGATCAGTAGAAGTAAGTGTTATTCTGGACAAGACATATATTTAAAGTACAGTATTTACCGCTGAGCCATGTCTTATGTAATTAGTTGCCCTCCATAATTTAGTTGCATAATCTTTTTATTATTATTTATGTCCCAGGTTGGCAGCATGTGTTGTCTCCTATAGTCAAATGCTTTTGGAATTTATGGTTTGGAACAAGCAGTACAAACCATTTTCCAATTATACTCTTGTGTCATATGATCTGATATCAATTTGGATGTTGAATTATTTGGCTAGCCTTTGGTTAAGTAGGTTAAAGTGAATTTTTCTGAGTCATGTGTCAAATACTTTCTTTTTTTGAGTTGGAGTCTCTCTCTGTCGCCCAGACTGGAGTGCAGTGGTACACTCACGGCCACCCTAGCATCGACCTGTTGGGCTCTGGCGATCCTTCCGCCTCAGCCTTCCAAGCAACCGGAACTAAAGGCACATGCTACTATGCCCGCCTAATTTTTGATTTATTGTAGAGATGAGGTCTTGCCAAGTTGCCCAGGCTGGTCTCAGACCTGTGGGCTCAGGCAGTTCACTCACTTTGGCCTCCCAAAGTGCTGGGATTACAGGCTGAACCACCAAGTCTGGTCATGTCAAATATTTTCCAGGAGGGAGTTTTATTAGGCAGGAAAACAATTTCTACTTATCTAACCTAGGTTAGTTTAGGAGTTTTAGAAGAAAAATATCAAGTCTATACTTTACACGAGCCTTTTATCATTATTACCTTAGGCCCCAAAATAATTTTAAATTTTATCAGAGACAGTAGGCTGTTAGAAACATCTGCCTGTAGAAATCTTTTTTGGTAGTGATTTGGTATATGTAAATTTTGCTTCTTGAAGTAAGTTAGTCTTACTATTTAGAAGCTTACTATTTATTATAGTCTTACTATTTAGTCTTACTATTTAGGAACTCTATTTGGATTTGTTTTTGGTAACTTTCCTATGTTCTGTATTGTATAATTTTTTGTTTACATGTTTAAAAACTTTAATTAGGTAACTATAATATGTGTGCATTAAATAAGCTTGGGCTTATACAGGGAAAAAGACAACTGGCAATTTTCCAAATACTTTACTAATTTTAAAAATTAAAAATTTAAAGTTTATTTTGTGTTCACCTTGTGCTAAACACTGTGGTAATACTTTATATTAGCTCTTGTAAACCTAACACTAGTGACAGTATGAAGTAGGTTTTATCATTCTTATTTAAAAGATGAGAGAACTAAATCTCAAATTTAGCAGTTTGGCCACAGTGACTCAACTTGAAAATGACAGGCTGGGTTTCAATATCAAGTTTCTCTGACTCTACGGTACCTGTTCTCATGCACTGAGCTTTATATATTTAAACCAGATATTTCAGGTCAAACATTATCTTTGAACTTTATCGCATTGTTATTTAATTGGTTAGACACATTGGTACTTCTGAAATTTTTTCCTTAAGTCTGTTCTGTAGGGACAGAGCCCTACGTGTTTCTACAATATCACTTTGCATTAGGTTGGTGAAGATAGTGAAAAATCCAAAATACCAATCCTTTCTAAAGCTACCTTATAAATTATTTTAGAAAAGTAGGATAACTGACACTTAGAAAAAGAATTAAAAGGAAATTTGTAGCTCTATACACAAGTCCACAGAAGTCAATGAGGAAAGGTATGTTCTAAGGATTTATTGTGTTACTCGAATAAGAAGGACACTGTGCTGTATCTAAATAAAAGGTACAGGTTAATAAGAAAGGATGGGATAATTTCCAGATATACCCTGACACAGGCTAGAGAAAATGACCCATAATTAATTGCCCGAGCAATTTCCTTCCTTTCTATTAGTAACCATAATTTTATGGTAGAAAACCCAGCTTCCCTAATTCATGTTTTTCTAAGAGTTCCTTTTTGAGACTGGAAATAGAAAGTACTTACAGATTCGAAATGTTGCATATACATTATGGATTCCCTTGCAGTCTGGGATTTTTCTGGGATAAAACTACATCTTGCTTCATACAGCCCCGTCTTGGAGTCACGTCTGCATGGCCTATTTATACAGCTATCCCCCTTGCAATCATGGACCAACTCCTTACCAGAAATATGACTGGAACATCTGTGATGAGAGAATTAGGTTACACATATATGAAGACTAGGAAAATCATGAAGAAAGAGCAACCTTCTAAAATCTTTCCTTTGGTGACAATTGAAGTGCCATCGATCATGTACAAAACATTACATTTTCACAGAAGTAAGCACAATGCTCTACTTCTACTTACCATCTATTTCAACAAGAACAATGTTGTTAGTTAATATTTATTAAACATTCATTATTCACTATTATGATCAATAAATCTATTATTCATGTGACTTTGCGCTAAAGATGAGAATTCCTAACTCACAGGGTTGCTGTGAAGATTAAATGAGTTAAGAGATAGGAATTGCTTCTTAGTGTAGCTGGGAGAGTCAACCTTGTACGTGAAATCCTTTTGAATTTGCAGATGTAGGGCACATAGTTTTGTGTTAATAGCATTTTGCAATTTACATTTTGGGAATCACTTTGCTAGACTCATGGAAGGAACAAAAATAAACCATGTGTGGAAATGCTTGTGCATTCAAACCATTTATTTGGTCTTTATGATAAAGAAAATTGTAATTGTCATATCCCTGACAGGGAATGGGGAGCAAAGTATGAGTAAAGGATTCTAAAGAGTTTCTGTTTAAATGCAGGATTTATTCCCATTCTGTGTTAATATTCAACTTTCTAATATTAATCTGCTTTAATACATTTGTTTGTATTGCAGGGATTTACGGAGATGGTGAGTCATATCTTCCAAGAAGGTTAGTTCTAGAGTAGGCCTGAAAGTGAAACTTACATATGATGAAACTTCACTGTCTTAAAGTGTCTGGCACAGTAGGAACTCAATAAATGTTGTCTTAGATACTTGTTTTTACTAATATATCTCTTTTTATGACTGATAATAAGGAAATCCATTCATTTTCATTAATTTTTCAAAAATGTAATATGTGAGCCGGGCTCGGTGGCTCAGCCTGTAATCCCGTGCCTTTGGGAGGCTGAGGTGAGTGAATTGCCTGAGCCCGCGGGTTCGAGACCCGCCTGGGCAGCAAGACCTCATCTCTACAATAAATCAAAAAAAAATCAGCCGGGCACGGTAGCGCATGCCTGTA